TGATCTGTAAAATGATGTGGTTCAACCAAATGACCTTAGAGAGATTTTCCAACACCAAATCTATGACTAAATAATCCTACATATTTCATTCTTAAAGAGAATTTTCATTTGCTTCCAAAATGAAACATAATTACAGAATTAAAAATAATTATATCCATTAAAAATGTTTCCAGGTTGGTTGTTTTAGAAATAACTTTCTCAAATGCAGAATCATCTTTTCATTATCTCTTCCAACAGAGATGAAAATGACCCACAAAATACCATAAAAAGGTATCTACATTATTGCTATGGTTAGTCATTCAGTATTGCCTCAAATTTCGTCTCCATCAACCAAGGAGGCTTATTATTATTTAAAGTAGCAAGAGGAGACACCATGGGGGTACAGTGGAACAAATCTCTGGATTTAGAGAAGTTGGAATCTTAAATATCATCTAATCCATTTTATAAATAAGAAAACTGAGTCCTAAATTTGCAACGTTTTTGGATAATACGATATTTTGCTCAAGGGGGACTCTGTAATAATGCAAAATTTAACCAATCATCTCACTTTATACTTTATTACCCATGAGAGAATTATTACAAAAAGAAAAACTGCTTTGGTCTCTGTGTCCTTTAAACCACTGGTTCTTAATCTGTGGTCTGTGAATCTTTTTAAAGTTTATATTTTGATAAGTGTATTTGAATATAATTAGTTTCCTTTTTAATTCTATGTATTTCTTGTACATTTAAATATATTAGGAACTGCCAAAGGAGTTTATGACACTAAAAAGTTTAAAGACCCTTGCTTTGGACAGTGAAGCTTGCTTTTAAAAACAAAACCTTTTTTTTTTTTTAATAGGATAGGCTAAGTCTTTGAGGAGTCTTGTTAACTTAACTTACAAAAAGGAGGCTGCCCATATTATCTCTCCATTCCTTTCTTGTGATTTTGGTGTAAAGGAAGAAGAACTCTAAGGAAAAGAAACAAATTCCAAATAATGTTCATTTGGCACCTTAGAATTAATTTTAAAATTCCCACCTAATGGACAACCTTGTCATTACCATAACATTTAATTTCTTCCTATTAGATTTAGGGCATATAAATGGCACAGTGGATAGAGCGCTAGGCCTGGAGTCAAGAAAACTCATCTTCCTGAATTCAAATCCAGCCTCAGACGCTTACTAGCTGTATGACCTCGGACAAGTCACTTAACTGTTTGTCTCAGTTTCCTCATCTGTAAAATGAACTGGAGAAGGAAATGGCAAACTAATCTGTGTCAGGCATTGCTCTGGGTCACACATCTAGTAACTCTCTGAGGCTGGATTTGAATTTAGGTTTTCCAACTTGGATCTTCCTGATTTCAGGTCCAGTGCTCTACGCACTGTGGCACCTTGCTGCCTTAAGTATATTTAGTGGGATGGGGTATGTGTGTGTGTAGGAGAAGTGAGTTTTTTTTTTTTAATTCTGAATTCAAGCAAAACAAAAACAAACAAAAAAATCCAACAAATAGGGACAGGAAGAGTCAGACGTGACTAAAAATGACTAAACAACAACAAAATTGGATTTGAAGACTAGACATCAACAGTTCAATTTTTTCAGAATTGTCCCTATCAAATGTAATTGATAACCCATAAAATATATTATCAATATATTTGCTTTTTCGGATTGGTTCTATGATTTCAATGGTAGAAGCAACTTTCAATGAGGAGATTCCTTTTACTGATGTATCTCTGAACTACACTTCATAGGCTAAGACTCTGAAAAGATAGGCAGCGTGTGTCTAGGATAACAAGGGATGTGTTAGAGTTGGGACTTGAATCCAGGCCTCCTTGACTCCTAGACCGACTCTCAATTTGTTATACAATACTGTATCTCTCATACTTTAAATAATATTTCCAGGTAAGTATTCATATGCATTTTTTCCTGTAGTAAACGATGTATTTTGTCTCATCACCATGTCACCAGGTTGGAAGTTGTTTCTTTGGGGTAAGAGCTTGTTACAGACACTTCCAAGGAGTCACAGACCGTTTTCTAAAAAATATCTTCTTATCTTCTTGAATCTGTAGCAACCAGTTAACTTTGTTCTTTCCTAGAATCAATCATGGGATCACAGATCTGGAGCAGAAAAGAACCTCAGAGGATTAGCTAATCCATCCTTTTCCTTTTATGATTAAAGAATCTGAATGTTAAATATTTCAAGTTACTTCCCAGAAGAGTAATAAGAGCTTAGGTGGTGCAGTAGATAGGGTACCAGCCCTGAAGTCAGGAGGACCTGAGTTCAAATGTGGCCTCAGACCAAACACTTGACACTTACTCGCTGTGTGACCCTGAGCAAGTCACTTAACCCCAATTGCCTTAAAAAAAAAGAATAATAATAGCTATCATTTTTATTTAGCATTTTAAGGTCTACAAATTGCTTTACAAATAGCTCATTTTTATTCTCTCAACAGCTTTCGAGGTAGGTGTTACTATTATCTCCGTTTTTTAGATGAGGGAACTGAGGCAGACAGAGGTCAGGTGATTTGAATTTGAATTCAGGTCTTCCTGACTTAGGGGCAGGCAACTAGGTCGTGCAAATATACCTGTAGTCAAGAAGACTCATCTTCCTAAATTCAAATCTGGCCTCACACATTTATTAGCTGTGTGACCCTGGGCAAGTCACTTAACTCGGTTTGCCTCTGTTTCTCCATGTGTAAAATGAGCTGGAGAAGGAAATGACAAACCACTCTAGTATCTTTGCCAAGAAAACCTCAGCAAATGGTGTCACGAAGAATTAGACATGATTGAACAGCTGACTTCCTGACTACAGGCCCAATGCTCAATCCACTGTGCCAAATAGATGCCTTAGATTAAAAAACAAACAAATAAACCTGAAACTGAAAAAACAAAGCAAAGCAAAACAACTACCACCAGCCATGTGGTTTTGAACCTAGGTCTCTTGACTCTAGATTCAACACTTTTTCTGCTCTATCATGTTAGTTACCTTGATTATCTGCTTAATATCATAATCTGACCAGTAGTTTCAATATAAATTGTCTATCTTATAACCCCCTTTTCAACTACTATCTTTTCCGCACATTTCACATTTGGATCACTTTACCCCTTCCCCATTTCTCTCATAATTATATTGTGTATTTAGTTTATTTAAAATATTTTTTTCTTCTCAGCTCAGCCATAAAATTGTTCACTCATCATATTTTCAATTGGATGGAATCAATAAACACCTTCTATCCCAAGAGTTAATTACTGGGCACTTGGAGAGAAATGAGGATTTTTATTTGCTGGGTCTTCTTTCACAGTAGCTTAATATTTACATCTCTGATCTTTCCATTATGGTATCTTAGCAAGCGTGGTTCTGCATCTAATATATATAATAAATCACACAAGTATTTGAAAGTGTGAAAACATTGACAGCATCTATTTGTCATAAAAACAAAAGTGAGTGATAGTTTTACTTTTAGGTTTGGCAGCTTCGGAGAAAGCTAAACTCTGTTTGACTAAATGCAGTATTAAGAAGCAATTATCTATGAAAGAAGGCATGTCGACGAGGGAAAATTTTTTATTTTTGCCTAGAATGAACTCCTACGTGAACCATAAAGTACATACTTCAAATCCACTCTTTCAATGGCTATTTGGCATGTTTATTCTTGGTCTTCCATTATGAGATGCCAGCTACACCTTTAATAACACAAATAAATCAGGGCTCATAGTATCGTGCAAGATAGTAATAATAATAGTAATAGTAGTAGCAGCAAACATTTGTATTGTACCTACTGTGTGTCAGGCATTGTGCTAAGCACTTTACAAAATATTAACTCATTTGATTATCAAAACAACATTGGGAAGTAGGTGCTATTACTATCCTCTTTTTACAGTTGAGAAAACTGAGGCAAACAGAGGGTAAGTGACTTGCCCAGGGTCACACATCTAGTAACTATATGAGGCTGGATTTGAACTGAGGTTTCCAACTTGGATCTTCCTGATTTCAGGTCCAGTGCTCTACTCACTATGGAACCTTGCTGCCTTAAATATATTTAGTGGGATGGGGGGTTGTATGGGAGAAGTGAGTTGTTTTTTTTTTTCTAATTCTGAATTTAAGCACCAAATAAAATGAAACTTTCTATATGCAAAGTAGAACAGAAAAAGTTTGTCACATATGCAATTGTGAGTTTCTATTATATATAGTTTGCTTTTCTTTTTAAAAATGTAATTAATTAATTAGTTGTGTCCAACTCTTTGTGATCCTGTGGACGCTACTTTCCATGGAGATTTCTTGGTAAAGATACTGGAGTGATTTTCCATTTTCCTTCTCCAGTGGATTAAGGCACATAGAAGTTAAATGACTTGCCTAGGGTCACACAGATAGTAAGTGTCTGAGGCTGATTTGAACTCAGGTCTTCCCGACTTCAGGTCCAGTGCTCTATCCATTGAGCAATCTAGCTGCCTGTATTGAATCGGTTCAATGTGTAGCTCAAAAGAGGGAGATCGTTGATGACTATGGAGAGAGCAATTTCAGTCAAGTGATGAGGTCAGAAAAGGCTAAGAGTGAGTGAGAAGGGTGAATGATGAGTGCTTGACAAACCTTATACCAAGTGCTATGCAAAAACCAGCTATTGTTATTTTTAGCTAATAAATAATAATTTTTATGATTTCTAGGGTTCTCATCTCCACAATTTCCATTGTCTGTAGTTTGCCTTTGGATTCCCTTCTAGTTCTGGAACTTTGATCCTAAGACTTGCTTGGAAGCTCTTAGGATAACACTATTCTTGGCTCTACAATGAACTTTACACAGTGTAGATCGGTTTTGAGGAATAATAATGACCCTAAATATTTTAATGTCTTATTTTTTTCATATCTTGGTTTGATGAAATGGTAGCATACTTGGGAAAGGAATTCCCCTTTACAAATGTTGTGGGAGGGTTCCCCCCCCCACCTCCACCCTGAGGTAACCTGCCAGTTTTTGACACTATCCCATCTCAGTGGGTCCCAGCTCTGCCTGAGTATTGCTTTCTCTTCTTGGCAGCATGGGGTAACCTTGGAAATGTCCTCAAGAGCCAGAGCAAGATTTCAGAAGCCGAGAACGCCTATAGAAATGCTTTGTACTACCGCAGCAACATGGCAGATATGCTCTATAATCTGTGAGTATGCATGTCGCACACCCCGTGGTCCATGGGATGATTGATACAAATTCTGGAAATGGAAATGATGCTAGCTGCTGTACTGCAGCTGTCTGACTAGTCATTCTTCTTATAAGCACCCCCTCCCTCATCACAACGGAGAGGCAGGAGCAGGCTCTTTTTTGTTTGGGGCCCCATCATATCTGTATTTAGGTTTTGTTTTTATTTTTGAAGGGAAATATACACATGATCTGGATTTACCCAGATTAAGAATGATCTCAATTAAAAATGATAATCCCTGTCCCTTTTCTCACCCTCAACCTTGGGTCTTTATTAAGCACCATTAATGTTTTACATAGATATACTTTCTACATGCTGTTCTTCATAAAACTGATGTTACAATCAGTGATAAGAGTAAATTATTAGTCTTCAACTTTTTTTCAGTTCCAGATTTCTTTGTGTTTATTTTCATGTGACATTTGCTGAATTTTTTTCATTCATTCATATATCTGTAGGCATATAGATATAATGTGTGTATATATATGTATACATATACACACACATGTGTGCAAATTTTTAAAACTAAGTTGAGCAACATAAATAGGGACTATATAAGGAATAAGTTAAAAGTCATATATGTGTAAATATACATGTGTTGTGTGTGTATATGTATGTGTGTATATATGTTATATATACACACACGCATACACACATCAGTTTGGTGTTGTACTCCGACACTATTCCTCAATTAAAAGCCTAAATTAAAAAGACCATAAATATCAGAGACCAATCTAGTCTAACCTTCACATTTTCCATATGAAGAAACTGAGTCCCAGGGAAGTTAAGTGACCTACCCAACATCACTTAGGTAGTTACTGTCAGAGATGGAATTTAAACCCAGATCCTCTTACTCCAAAGTCAATACCCTGTACCACAGAATTCACTAGGACCAATTTCTATATGCTGTAGGGGAAATAGCATTTAAAAGGCCAAACCCTATAGAGAAAGTTCTCTGACTTGAATCACTAAAGGTCAAAATTGAAAGCATCTGGCTTCTGTCAATGATTTTTAAGTCACTATGCTCAATTGAAGTGTTCCTTGAAAATCTCTTTTCTCCCAGCTGTTAGTGTTAGAGGTGAATGCTGGAATTATCCTCATTCAAAAATGGCCAGCTTCCAATATAAAGCTTTCAAATTGAAGGGTAAAAAAATAACAAAAAAGTTATTCAAAAAATGTATACAGAGAGAGGGGATAACCAGATATTTCATCAGAATAATGAGAGAAGGATGTGGGTTAAGTAGCTGATGTACATTGTTGACCTTTTTTGTATGGGCACATGCTGTAGAATTATGTTAAAAAGATAATCAGTAGGATTATTAGGCTGAACTGACAGTCTCTTGCAAGAAAACATTACTCAGGGAAGTGCTAATACATGTCCTAAATCTTTCTATGAAGCATCATATTATCTTGGCATTAGTGAAATACCATTGCAAAGATCTGTGATCATACAGAGTTCATACAGATCATACAGAATTTTTAACACACACATGTACACACACATTACATATATATATATATATATACACACACTATATATATATAATCTCATGCATTTATCTGCTTTTAAAAGAATACTGCATAATGTATTTTTCATTTAACAATATATTCAACCATTTGTTCTCATAGCCACATTGAAACAAATGAAAAAAGAAATCCAGTGCCAGGTAAAAGAGTGTTGGTTTGAAGATGAGATAAATAGATTTATGTGCACATCAGTTTTTCTTTTCAAGCATAATAACTTTTCCTAGGACAAAGAAGATGTGCCATCTCTCACTATGATTTCACACTGTCAAATTTTATTAGTACATATTCAACCATCCACCTTTTGACTCCAGTACTCATTACTGCTTGAAGCAGAATTGATTTCAAGTTTTAAAAGATGCACAATATGTATAATTTAATTTCTGCAATAGATGCATCTTAGCCAGGCTGTTCTAAATAGTATTTTACAGGTGGTTACATATTGACTTGTGTTGCATTAGGATTTTGCTAGATTCGAAAATTCATATATTTAATTCAGAACTTTGGTAAATGTAATGTAGTATAATCAGCTCTCGATTATGCATCTTAATAGAGAGGATCATTAGTGAAGAGAACACAATATTACAACATAATGTAGCACATCCTATTTTTTGTCACCCTGTAAAAGCAATATGAAAGTCAACATTGTAGGAACCTTTTTATGTCAGTGCTGAGGGGCAGAAATTTAAAAAAAACTGTCATTCGCTTTTTATATTAGATTTTTGTGTTATTTGTTATACTTTAAAAAAAATAAAAGTACTATGTGTCCTCCCTCCCTATTCAGTAAACTTCAATGGCACCCTGTTACCTCCAAAATCAAATGCAAAATCCTCTCTTTGGCATTCAAGGCCCTTCATCACTTCCCACCACCCCCATTCCCCATCCCCCATATATTTCCGGTCTTCTGACACCTTACACACTACCCCCTCCCCCCACCCCAAAGTACTCTTCAGGTTAGTAACACTGGCCCACTAGCTACTCCCATCTCTTGCCTCTGACCATTTTCTTTGGCTGTCTCCCATGCCTGGAATGCTCTCCCTCCTCATTTCTGCCTCCTGGCTTCCTTCAAGTCCCAGCTAAAACTCCAATCCCCCTTAATTCTAGTGTCTTACCTTTGTTGATTGTTTTCCATTTCTCTTGTATGTAATATTTGAACATATTTGTTTGCATGTTGCCTCCCCCATTAGATTGAGAATTCCTTGAGGGAAAAGACTATCTTTCACCTTTCATTGTATCCCCTGAACTTAGCACATTGCCTGACACATAGTAGGTACTTCATAAATGCTTATTGATTGACTGACTAAAAAAAGTTATGGGTGCTTTTTGTTTTTATATCACAATCATTTACCAATATACCATCCTGTTGAACCCTGAGATATAATAAATTTAAAAAGAGTTTAAGCAAAACCAATCAACCTATCAAGCATGTCTGACATGAACACGAAGGTTCATATCTCTAGTCCCCCACTTCTCCTCAGAGAGGCATAATTATGCTTTGAGAACATGATGTGACATGTGGTATCTTCACTGGATATTAGTTATAATAGGGTTCTATTGTGATTTCACACTATTGATCTGGCAGTACACAGTTCAGACAAAGTGGGAGTCTGAAGACCAGCATTTGAACACGGACATCGGCTGTGTACTCACCCAGGTTTGATTTTCTTCCAGATTCCCTGAACCCTAAATCTAAATTGCAAATAAATATTGTTCTTTTTGGAATTAGCAAAAAGAAATTGATATAGATGTTACTTAAACGGGTAGTAACCAGAAGAACGTGGTTTTTTTTTCATCCCAGAGAAATACATGCATTTGCATATTAATTATAAAATTAGGGACAAAATGGCTAGTGGACAAAATGCCAAACCTGGGTTCAAGTCTTTCCTCTGATACATACTGGCTCTGTGACCCTGGATGAGTCACTCATCCTTTGAGTGTCCCAGACAGCTCTCTAGAACTAAGTTGCTGAGAAGGTGCCAGTTTTCATTGGCAGAAGAATTCCCTATACCAATTAAATCACAGATTCAGATTTATAAAAAAAATTCAAAAAGGCTTAATATTTATTTATGATGCAGAAAATATTTGCAATGTTAGAGGGACTGTGAAGGAGACCAAGTCAAACCTGGGTGTCTGCCTTTATGTTTCCCTCTCAAAATTTTTGTGACCCTCTGGAAAGTAGAAAATGAACATGGGCTGAAGCTTAATCATCCTCATACATTAATTTAGAACTAGAAGACCTCAGAGGTCATCAGATCCTCCCCATGCACCCTCATTTGGGAGATGATGAAAATAAGGCCCGGAATGACCTGTCCAAGGTTGTGAAGGGAGTAAGTGGTGGAGTCATGTTGTAAACCAGGCTCCTGTTTCTGCAGAACTGGGCTTCCCTGATGCTAAGCACACAGACCCGCCTGAGCAGCCAACTTCCTTTCCTCTATGACTTCCCAGTCTTACCCATTAGCTCAGCTGTCTTGAAAAATGCATGAAAGTCCTTCAAAGACTTGAAGGCAGCATGGCATAGGACCTAAAAAGTTGATTTCAGGGTCAGCAAAAGCAGTGTCCCACCTTAGACACAGTGAGGGGGCCAGGTCGCACAGCGGTTAGAGCTCTGAGCTGGAGTCAGGAAAATCTGAGTTAAAATCCTTCCTCAGACACTTACCAACTGCACGACCCTGGACAAGTCACTGAAACTGTTTCCTCAACAGTTAAATCGAGATAATAATATAATCTACAAGGTAAGGTTGTTGTGAGGATCAAATGAGATAATATTTTTAAAGTGTTTGGCACATATTAAGTTCTTAATAAATCCTTCCTCCCTTCCTTCCTTCCTTTTCTCCTACCTCCCTTCCTTCCCTTCTTCCTTCCTTCCCTCCTTCATTCCTTCCCTCCTCCCTCCGTCCCTCCCTTTCTCCTTCCCTCCCATTCTTCCTTCCTATGTAACCCTGGGCAAGTCACTTAACTTGCCTGCCTCAATTGCCATAACTGTAGGATGGGTAAAATAATACCATCTGCCTTCCAAGATTGTTGTAAGGATCAAATGAGATATATTTTAAAGAACTTTATAAACCTTAAAAGGCTATTATGAATGCTATTGTTATTATTATTATTATTATTATGATTGATATTGCATTATCATTATTTTATTCCTCATGGACAAGTCATTTAATTCTCAATTGCCCCCCAAAATTATCTAAGACTTTAAGTTGCAGAGCAGGTGCTGATCTGCATTACCAGAACTAGTTTCTATAATGGGAAGTGAAAGTGAAAGTCAACAACAAACAAAAAATTAAGCACCTAATGGAATGTCTATTTCACAATAGAGAAAAGCCAAGTTGGTGAAACTTTCACTCTTCAACCTTTCTTGAAAGCCACTGGTTAGGGATAGGTGGGCAATGTGGAGAATTTTTGTATGTCATTAGGTAATTTTGGTGTTGTTTGATGAT